ATAAAAAAAAAAGAATTAATAGCAAACAATAATGTCCTTCCAAGAGTTATCTGAGACATTTCCTTACAAAAATAGAAAACAATAATGTACAAACAATTGATTTTACCCATAAGACCAATTAACTGTGAAATATATTGCTTACTTAAGTAGAAAGTATTTGGACATTTACTCTCCATGGGAATAGAACAATTTTTCTTACTCTTCAAAAACTAAGCCAAGATTCTGTGAATACTCACGTCTTTTCTTCTTTTAAATCTAATGTTCACATTGTCAAATGTAGCAGTATAAGATTTTAGCTTTTTGGTTAAAATGTCCTCTGAGTCAACTGATCTTTTTTTTTTCTTCTTGGTTCTTCAGGAATATAGTTTCCATATTAAAAAACGTCAGTTAGAAACCACCTAAAACTAACTTTGTTTTTAGAGGGAAATGCTTAGTTTGGGTACAAATGCATTATCATCTGTAATGGGAAAGGAAAATTTATTCTTCAAATAGCATTTTGAATCTAAAAATAGTTCAACTTCCCAAGATGATACTGAAAATGTCTAGTCTTTTAAAAACCCTGCCACAGATAATAGACTATTTTTAACTGAAGAACATAAGCATTGTACCAACTCCTCACTTTGAAACTTTTCCTCAACTGAAGACTGTATTCATAAAGTCATAAAATCAGACTTCAATAAAACAAAAATGTTTTAGTCTAAAACTTCTGATATCTTACTTTTCTAAAGCACCTAAAACAATGATCTTAAGTGCTTTAAGATATTTATGAACACAATTACTTACTTAAAATATTTTACCTGTTACACATCTATTAGAATTATTCTGCTTTGCTCAACAGGATTAGAAAGGTATTATTATCCTGTTTCATCAATATGTTATCATATAGTAGATATGTATTATTATTTTCTAGACCAATGATCATTTTAAACAAAATTCTAACAGACATTACACCATTTTAGTTCTCCTTCTCTTTCCTAATGGAAGAAATTAGTACTGAAATATTGCTGCTGATTTTGTGTAAATAATTACGTCTCCTTAAATTTTATTATAATAATTGGAATTTGTACCATACCCATGATATTTATTAAATAGGAAATTATTTTAAATACTGAAAAGACAATAAAAGAGCTAAAACAATATAAAAGTGTGCTTTCTTTGCATTCAAATAAATGTAAATTATATTTAATTTGAATTATCACTTAAAAACATAATTACTTATTGCTGTAAACTCAAGACAGACTCATAGCTGATCCTCAAGCAGGTTTTGATAGGTTGTCATCTATTTCTATCAGAGCAAGAGATGGATTTGATCTTCCTACTTTTGGGTTAGTAGTGCAACTTCTTATTCATTAGGCTAACAGAGGTCCTTCAGTATAATTAGATAGTTTTAAATTTACAAGGTACTTATCTTGTATTCTCCAAATTAGAAGACTTAAAAATATAGACAGATCTTACTTTCTTTTTTTTTTACTACTTAACACTTTGTCTTCTTGGATCCCCAAGACTTGAATAACAAAATGAAGTGCTATTAAAAGAATCATTTAACATGCACTAGGACTAAAATAGGACAAATTTCAGATTATCTCATTTTAAAATATTATTTTTATTATTAGTATCTGCCTGTTGACAACAGTTAACAATTGTCCATAAGTCAGAAGAAGTTCAATCTAATTTCTACTTTCGTGTAACTTGTGATAAAATCAGAAAATATGCCTTTTTTTAAAAAAAATTCAGACTGTTACAGTGATTTTAATGACAGTAAAATTAGAGTATTATACTTCAGGGCTATAGAATTTAATAAAAATAAATTAACTGTTACTCTTATATAACATATATATAATTTTGTGTACACTAAAATTTAGCATACAATGAAAAAAACTCAACTCTTAATTTCAAAATGCACAATTCTATGAAATGACTACTGAAAGGACCAATTAAATAATAATTCACCTAATAAAAATCTTAGACTTCTTGTGGAGCTGCAAGAGAAAAGATGGCAAAAAGAAACTAATATTTCTTTAATATTTTTTTAAAGGAGAAATGTCCTGAAAGAGACCACCTAGAAGGACAACTGTGAAGAGAACTGCTTTATCAAGGTGAAATTCTTTGTTGATGGTTGCCTCACCACTCTACCAACTATAGCTAAGAATTGGCTCCCTTTTGTATAATAATAAGACCTTCTGAAGTCTATAAAAAATACCTTTTCCATAAATAAGAGTAGACTTGAACCATTCTAAACTTTAACCGTTTAGGAGACTCTTATGGTATGGTGACAGTGAGTTGTGTTGCTAAACCAAAAGCAAAGGTTCCAATCCATCAGTTGCTCCATGGGGAAAAAGAGGAGTAATCCTTTCCTGTGCCATTTACAGCCTCCCAAAAACTCTCAGTGGAAGGTCGGCTATTCTCATTCTACAGAAACGAGTGAGTGAGTGAAGCGTCAACTAAATAACTCTGAATCACAGACTTTTCTATCTTCCCCTTTACATGATGTGCTGAACAGAGTATTTTCCCCTGAGGCTGTTCAGATCAGAAAGCCAGCATTCAGCTAATGTAAGCATCATAAGGCCTAGGAATTAAATGCTACATGAGTAGCCTGGACACCCTAATATGTTCCCTTTTTTAACACCTTTTAACCCTGCTACAAACTTTCAACGGTCATGCAAGTGAATCCTGTAAGACTTCAAAAGGGCAGTGATCTTGAAAGAGCATGTTCTGTGACGACTAACCACACAGATGCCATCTTGAAAGAGGAAAACCTAAACAGCTAACCAGGCAGACATCATCTTGGAGAGTCTGCTGCGTAAGACTACTGATTTGCATCACTGCCCTTTTCTAAAATAACTCCACCTTCCCCTTCTAAAAGTGCTGACTAATCATGAGCTCTTTCTCACACACTTAGCCTAGCCTACAAATATCCACTCAGCGACCTTCCGTTCAGAGACTGATTTAGGAAGCTCATATAGTCCTATCTCTAACCTGAATGCAGATAATAAAACTCCAACCCCTGTCTCCAATATTGGGGGTATTTTTGCAGCAGGCCATACAACCATTTTTTTTTTCAGTAACAAAGCTAATAAAGCCATTTAAGTAGCTCTTAATTAAAAATCCATTTTATACAGTGTCTTATAAAGTCCTAAATGCTTTGTACTTACTTGCCTCAAATACTCGCAAATGCACATGTGGGAAGAATGGTGGGCAGTATAAAGAATTAGAATTTTACTAGGTAGGCTTTTCTATTACATACCTAGCTAGCAAAAAATTAAAAGCACTTATTCTTTGCAACTACAACTTAATTAGGAGACTTTTATAGAATGAAGCAGTGATATTTCAATAACTGTTTTTAAAAGGGGGAAGTTGCTTACATTGTTCCCAGTATAGATCACTTAAAAAAAACCAACCAAACAACAAATAATGGTAGAGAGGTGAGTCAGATGGTGCTTATGTGGAACAGACAAAAAATAGCAATTAAATTTACTCTGGAAGAGAGAAGGCAGTGGAAAATAAAGGAGAAAGAAATAAGTATAGATTATATGACAAAGCCTTGTGGTAAAGAGCCATCTAAGGGATTTAGGAAAAAGAACTATGATAATTGAAAAGGTACATGGTAAAATTTTTATTATGTATTTTACTTTCAAATGGTAACTTCTGGATAGTCTATTTTATCTTAAGCTTGTTTTTGCTAAAAGAAATATACAAGGAAATTACATTTCTGGACTTTAATAAATTTGTAATTTGAGAACTACAGATTTAAGAACCACAGCAAGGATAAGGAGGTTTGGTGGCCTACTGGTAAGAAGCTGCCAATCTGAAGGCACACAATGAAAATCAATTGTGGGCTTTGTGGGAGAAGGATGGGCAACCTCCTTCCATGTGATTTGCTGCCTCTGAAAACCCACTGGAAGGTCAGCTAAGGGTCAAATCCAACTCAATGGTACACAACAACAACAGCTAGGACACCTATCTTCCCCATAAGGAGTCAGTGTTGTTTATAGAACCCAGAACAGTAAGCTATCCAAGCACAAAGGAATACTATGAAGACAGAAAACAGTACTAAAACAGAATGTCAGCCCTTTAGTGGTGGTCAAAATGGAACCCAAAGATCTGTAAGAATATAACAAATACAAATACTTAAGTAGTCTTTTATCTTATTTGAAGTATTTCTTTTCCTAAAAATATATCTGGGAAATTACTTCATTTTATTGCTGGATACACATTCTCCCTCTGCTAAATACATGCATGGAAACAAATAGTCTTCCTCACAAATGTACACATGCACAGTTAAGCTTTAACAGTTCACATTTTTAATCAACAGGACCTATATTTCCCACCCTAATCCCCAACATGTCCACCTAAATATCAAGAATGGAAACTGGAAAAGAAATATAAATTCCTTCTTGCATTTTCCTGTAAAATTTCCTATATTCTCTATTTTTTTGATCAATATGATCTGGCTTACTGCTTCCTGTGCCTATATTTATCATCTATTTGTATAGCTATGGTAATGAAATATCATAATAAGCTAGATGTTATACCACCATAAAGTAGCAAAAATAATATAAGAAAATCAACAACACTCTAATTTGAAGAGCTACATATTTCTTACCATGTCTTTTCCACCTATGACCTCTTATAGACATGCTAGTTACTGCATTTCTTGATATTCTGGAGGAAGTTGGTGTAATTTCAACTTGAATACACCTTGTGCCCTCCTTACTAGATTTCATGGCACCACGAGGCAGGGAAGCCTTTATTGCATTAGCAACCTAAGAAGAAAAAGAAGAGCTTAAGACTGATACTAGTAGATGCATTATTACACCCTTAGATAAAAACACAATGCTAATTTTTACAAAGTGAGTACTCACTCCAATACATTTCATAAGATGATGCATAAATCCTCTAGAACAAGAAGAACTCAGAAGGAAATTTGTGGTTAAAAATAAGTAAAGCAGTCAAAAATATCAAAATACTAAGTCCATACTTTCGAATGCTAAATGTTAATGAATAAATGCAGCTAGATTACCTTAAGGAGAACACTCTCAAAATTGAAAAAGACAATCAGATATCTAATACTTTAGTACAATAAAATTTTCAAATATTATTTTATATACTCTTACACACACCTTTCCAAGCATAAATTTTTTCTAGTTATTACAGGAGCATAAATCACTGATAACTGACATAAAAATGCACTAAAAATGGCTACTTCTCAACTTATAGTTCTAAGATAAGAAATTTTAAGTGACAAATTTTATACCAATGTGGTACTTACCAACAGTGGTTCTGGATATAGCTCCAGCTGAGCTCTGTATATAATATCATCTAATGCTTTTTGAGCTAGATCCCATTCTCCATTATAACTGCAAAATTAAATTAATAAGTTAAAGAAAGCATTTTAATTTTTAATTACATTTCTATAACTATTGTTGTTGTTGTTGTTAAGTACTGTGTATCGTCAAGTCGTAGACCATTCATAATGACCCCATGAATGAAAGATCTGAACACTTGTATAACTTGTATAATTCTTGTATAACATTCATAGAGTTACCAGAGGCAAGTTATTTCAGAAGTGGATGCCACTCCTGCTTCCAAGCTTGTTTTACTCAGGAAGCTCCACCAAACACTGTCCATCATGGGTAATAACCATCACATTTGGCACATCAATGTCACAGTGTTTAGCATCACAGCAACCACGAGTTAGCTCTGTACATCAAATGGACAGACCAGTGCTATACGGACAGAATATAATGAGACATCATCTTCATAGAAAAAACTAAAAGTTCATATTAGCACAATGCTTAGCTTTTCATTTTCTTTAAAAATGCATTGTTAATTCTTTGAATTAATTTCAATTGTATCTGAAGAAAGTCTAGTAACAGGAAATAAAACTTTATATATGCACTTAATCAGCATTGTGCTGCAAACAGAAGAGCAAAGACACTAAGTCACAAGACAACATTCCTGGAGCAGATCAGGGCAAAAACCTTTCCCCAGTATTGACTGCCTCAGACAAAAATCCTTCTCTACAGAGGAAAGCTGGACAATGACTAAGAGTGACAGAAGAAGAACTGATGCCTTTGAACTGTGGTGCTGGAGAAGAATATTGAATATGCCATGGGCTGCTAGGAGAACAAACAGGTTCCTCCTGGACAGGGTGAACCAGGCTGTCCCTTGGAGGCAAGGATTCTGAAGTTCCATCTCACATACTTGGACATGTTGCAAGAAGAGATCAGTTCTTGGGGAGGGACATTATGTTTGGGAGGGTGGAGGGAAAGCACAAGAGGAAGACACTGGAAGAGATGGATTGACTCAGTGACTGGGGTAGAGGGGGCATGTGTGTCAGAGACTATGAGGTTGGCTCAAGATAGAGCAGGGTTCAGAGTTGTTATACATAGAGTCGCTAGGAGTTGCAAGTGACTCGATGGCACATAACAACAACAAAGCTAGTACATGGGATTCGGACTTACAACTTAACACAGGCAGCAGTGTGAGAGATCAGCAACAGTGCGAGGTGCAAGGCATTACAGAAGTGACTTGAGGTCTGAGTCATGGTATCAAGGGTTGTCTGGGCAGAGGGAGCTGCTGGACAGGGTAGGAAGAGTGTAAGGAGATGCTTATGGACCAGGCAAAGGGAAGAGAAAAGACACATGCGTAGGGCGGAGGGAGGGTGGTGGCACTGAATCCATTGGTTACTTTCACTAAGAGGGAAGTGTCTTTTATTTGCTCCTTTTGGTAAAATGCTTGTCTGTCAAATATTGTCCTAAAGCTGAGTATCCAAATTAAGACAGACTAGGAAGAAGGATCTGCCATACACTTTCTTAAATAGCAGGCCTTCAAAAATCCTATGGACAATAAAGCATACTAGACTAGCAGGTATGACACTTGAAGCCAAGCCCTCAAATTTGGAAATACAAATGAGGAGGAACAGTTGTAAGCAGACACTAATGACTGGAACATGGAATGTGAGAAGAATGAATGTAGGAAAACTGGACATTGTTAAGAAGGAAATGGAATGAATAAATATTGACATATAAGGTACTGGCAAAATGCTATTGACTGGCATGGGATATTTTGAAACAGAAAATCATATCGACTATGCCGGAGATGAAAAGGTGAGGAAAAATGGGGTCACTTTCATGGTTAAATAGGTCATTACTAGATTCATCCTGAAATACAATTTTGGGAATGACAGGATAATATCCATACATATATAAGGAAGTGCAGTGAATACCACTATCATTTAGATATATGCACCAACAACCAGAGCCAAAAAAGAACAAATAGATTATTTCAACCAACTTTTGCAGTCAGAAATCTAGCAAACATGCAACCAAGATGCATTAATAATAATTGGTGACTAGAATGCAAGACTTGGAAACAGAGAAGAATCAGTAGTTGGAAAACATGGACTGTGACAGAAATGAGGCTGGGGATAAAATGACAGAATTCTGTACAATTGATAATTTGTTCATTGCAAATACCTTTCATAAGAAAAAAAAACATACTATACACATGGATTTTACTTGATGGTATGCACAGGAATCAGATCGATTATATCTGTGAAAAGAAGCTCACTATCAGCAATGAAAATGAGGCCAGGTGCTGACTGTGGAACAGACTATCAACTACTCATATGCAAATTTAAACTAAAGCTAAAGAAGGTGAAATCAAATCCAAAGGAATAAAAATTTGGCTTTATATCTATTCCACCTAAATGGAAAAAAAAAAACCATCTCAGGAACAGATTTGAGATCTTCAATATTAATGAACAAAGACCACATGAGTTTTGAGAGGCTATCAAGAATATCCTCAAAGAATGCTAAAGTTCATTACTAAGACAAGAGGAAGAAAAGATAGAGATGGAAGTCAGAAAAAAAACTCTAAATATTGCACTAGAGCACCAAGAAGCCAAAGCAGAGGAAAGAAAGGATGTTAAGGAGCAGAAGAGTAGTTTTCAAAGGGTAGCCTGGGAAGGCAAAACAAAGTATTACAATGAAATGTGCAAAGAGATCCGGTCAGAAAACCAAAAAGGTCGAACTCGCTCAGTATTCCTAAAGCTGAAGGAACTAAATTAGAACAAATTCAAGCCTCGAGTTGCAATACTTCAGGATGCTTTGGCCAGAATCTTGAATGATCCAGAAAGCATGAAAAGAAGATGAAAGGAGTATACAGAGTCACTTTACCAAAAAGAAGTAGCTTACACAGAATTTCAAGAAACAACATATGATCAAGAGGCAATGGTGATGAAGAAAAAATTGAAAAACTAGCAAAAAATAAGCCCCAGAAATTGATGGAATACCAAGTGACATATTTCAATAAACAGATGTTGCCCTGAATGTTCTCAGTAGGTTATGCCAGGAAAACTGAGGACACTACCCGGGCAACTGACCGGAAGAGATCCATTCACACTGCAAAAAAAAGGTGACCCAACAAGAGTGTGGAAATTGTCTAACAATATCACACACAAGCAAAAATATTATCCTGCTGAAGATTATCAAGAATTAACTAGAACAGGACCTCACCATAGAATTACCAGAAATACAAGCTGGGTTTAGAAGCAGTAGTAGCACTAGAGACATTATCACCAGTGTCAGATAGATCTTGGCCAAAAGCAAAGAGTACCAGAAGAAAGTCTATCTGTGTTTTATTGACTATGCAAAAGCATCTGACTGTGTGGATCACAACAAATTGTGGCTGACCTTGAGGAAAATGGGAATCACAGAACATTTGACTGTGCTCATGTGAAACCTATACTCGGATCAGGAAGCAGTTTTCAGAACAGATCATCAGGGACGGTGGGCTGTACGAGGAGTAATGTAGCATCAGGACTGGAAGAAAACTCATCAACAACCTGTGTTATGCAGATGACACAACCTCGCTTACTGAAACTGAGGAGGACCTAAAGCTCTTGCTGCAGATAGTCAAGGACTGTAGTCTTCAATATGGATTGAAGCTTAACATCAAGAATAAAGATTCTGCACAAGATAACCAAATTGCAAAATGGACATAGGATATGAACAGACACTTCACCAAGGAAGACATTCAGATGGCAAACACATGAAGAAATAATGTTCGAAATCCCTAGCTCTAAGAGAATGCAAATCAAAACAACTATGAGATATAGAACAGCAAAATTTTAACAGAATAGCAAACATCAAATGCTGGCAAGGTTGTAGAGAAACCGGAAGTCTTATTCACTGTTGGTGGGAGTGTAAAATGGTGCAATCACTATGGAAGGCACTATGGAATGGTGCTTTCTCAAAAAGCTGCAATAAGAAAGACCATTTGATTCAGCCATTCCACTACTTTGCCTTAAAGGGCCAGAGTATAAGTACTTTAGGTTTTGTCACAATGAGTGTATTTTGTCATCATGATAGAGCAACAGCCATAGACAGGATGTATGTAAATGCACATGACCATAAATAAAGTTCCAATAAAACTTAATACGTTTTAATAACTTGAATAAGTTGATCTGGCCTTCAGACCATAAATTTTATGTGCAATAAAGGATGCATAAAATTAAAATATGAAGTTCAAAGGAAAATACGATTGCTTAAGGTATTTGGTATGATCAGCATCAATATTAGAAATTAAGAGAAAACTATTCCCGATCAAAGAATTTCTAAAATATCTTTAAAAGGTAAGATTATGGAAACTGTTCTTTGGAATAATCAAAAGATAATTACTAGGTAAAAAGCTATTTGAAAATTATTGTACAAAAGAATAATGAAGAAAGGGATTATGAATGATTCAAGTTTTACTAATTTTTATTTTCTGAATCAAAGAAAAATTAAGAATTGTTTTAACTACAAATACTCAGAACTTTAAAATATGTATTTTTTAAAATAATAAAATTATTTCCAGAAAATTTATTCATATTCTTTCACTTGAAAACAACTGGTTACATTTATTATGAAAAGATTGACAATAAATAACATATTATAATTATCCAAAGAGATCAAAGGCTTTATGTGTATAACATAAACTTACAATGCAAAATAAATCCCTGTTAGCATTTGCACCATGAATTCTGAAGAAACTGGTATTCTGCTACTCAGACCTTTGTATTTTCTCACATGTTGTCGAGGATAACCACATACACAGAGTCTAGAAAGGTCAAAACAAATATATTTACAAAATCAGTAAAATGTGGGTAATTTCTTTTTTAACATTTAAAGTTAAAATGAACTGAGATATGCTCTCCTAACAAAACTAACAAAAAATAAAATTCATTCAGAAAAAGTACCATGAAGCTTTGTAGGTTGAAATAGTGAGCATAAGGAAGAATATAAATAGTAAAAAAATAAAAAGTGAAATAGTATTTACTGTGGTGAACAGGTAACCATCTAAAAGTCCAACACAGAAACTCAATTACAGAAAGTATTCCCAGAATACTATAACACAACTAAACTTCTGCTGCAGAAGATCAAAGACTACAGCCTCCTATATGGACTGAAGCTCACCATCAAGAAAACAAAGATTCTAACCACTGGGCCAATTGGCAGCATCAGTATGGATGGTGAAGAGATTGAGATAGTTAACAGTTTTAGTTTACTTGGCTCCATGGTCAACACTCTTGGTAACAGCAGCCAGGAAATCAAGAGACAAATTGCATTGGGAAAGTTGGCTGTGAGGGACCTCTCAAGAGTACTGAAGAGCAACGATGTCAGACTGGAGACTAAGGTGCGCCTGATCCAGGCTATAGTCTTTGCAATTATGTGCTATGCATCAGAGAGTTGGACAGTGACTAGGGTTGATAGAAAGAGAATTGATGCCTTTGAGCTGTGGTGCTGGAGAAGAGTGTTGAATATACCATGGACTGCTAGGAGAACAAACAGGTTTGTCCTGGAGAGGGTGAAGCCAGAATGTTTCCTGGAGTCAAGGATTCTGAAGCTTCGTCTGACATATTTTGGGCATGTTGCAAGGAGGGACTGATACTTGGAGAGGGACATCATGTTTGGCAGAGTGGAGGGACAGCACAGGATAGGAAGACCCTCGATGAGACGGATCGATTCTGTGGCTAGAGAGGTGGGAATAAGTGTGCTTGAGATGGCTAGGTTGGCACAGGATAGAAGAGCGTATAGAGTTCTTGTACATAGGGTCGCTATGAGTCGCAAGCAATTTGATGGCACATAACAATAATAACAACAACTTTAGTGACAAAGAAAACAATAGCTAAACTATGTATGCAGTATAATTCCATTTTTAATAAATAGAGAGGAAAAGTGTTAATGCAGAAAGAGTATGTACAAAGTCAGAATTTTCTCTGAGGTGTCTGTCTACATTGTTCTTGGTGTGTGTTGTCAAGTCAGAATCAACTCATAGCTAATCTTCCAGAGGGTTTTCAGAAGCAGTAAATCACTCAGAAGGCTGCCCGCTGCCCATCTTTTTCTCACAGAGCAGCTGGTGGACTTGAACTACATACCTTTGGTTCCTTAACACTAAAAGCTACCAGAGCTCCCTAAGCTGTTTGTAGCGAACGGCTACCTTCTTTTTTTTTTTTTAATTTTATTTTAATAATTTTAATGAACATTTTTACAGAGATTTTGGATTGCCATTCATTCACTGTTCACTTCTCTCCCCACCCAGCCCTCCCCCTGCTATCTTCTTTTTTTTTGTTTTTCTTAATTTTCTCTGTTTTTAAAATAGAGAATAAGTTTCCGTTTTTAATAAGTATCCCATAATTCCAGTTGTGACTGCATTGATTCCACCTCACAATATGTCAGAATGTAACTGTGCTCCATAAAATTTTCAGCAGTTGGTTTTTGGAAGTAGCCTGCCAAGACTTTATTTAGAGGCATGGATACAAGGTTGTCTTAATTCCACAATTTGTCACAATCAGAAAGTTAAAAAGGAATGGAAGACACTTGTCATGGAATTTAGTTCAGCTATTCTATGAGGGGTTTTTTTCCTGTATTTTGTATTCTCCCTCCTAGCTATCCAAGTTAATAGTTTAGGTAACCTTCACCCCTAATCAACCCTCATCATAATCAGCAACCCAAGAGAAGAGCAATATAATACAACTTTCACTTGGCCAAAGGATTAAATCAGTCACAATACAGTGCAATCACTTTACACCTGTTGTTGTTATGTGCCATCGAGTCGCTTGCGACTCATAGCGACCCTATGTACAACAGCCCTAAACTCCGCTCTGTCCTGTGCCAATCGCACTGTCTCTGACACTCCCATCCCAATTATCCCAGTCACTGAATCAATCCACCTCATAGAGGGCCTTCCTCTCCTGTGCTGTCCCTCCATCCTCCCAAGCATGAGCTACATTGGTATTAATATGGTACTTAACTATCATAATCATTTAACAGTTATTTATCATCAAAGATTGATAGTTAATGTTCCCCTTTGATATGAACTATGTTTAGCTTGGTTAGACAAGAAATGTCTTCTAATTATTTTCTATTCATCTTAGAAATATCCAAAACACCCTCATTAGAATATCTGAAAAAATTATTAAAGTAGCCTGATGTAACTAGATTCCAGATTATTGGGTTTGTAGAGACAAAGAATCTTAAGAAACAAAAACTAAACAGCCAAGAAAAGGCAAGAATGATACATTTGATGGAGTTCCTCTTTACATCATGACGTGGCTAGGCTAAAGAGTTAGCATTATTAAAATAGCTTAAGTATTTTATTTATCTTTTTTCCCTCTATCATTGTCTTAGAACTAGGGAACATTAAGACAGAATGAGTTTTTCTGTGGCATGAAAAGAAAATAAAAGCTTCTGCTAAAACCTCCACTGGCCAAAACCCTACAGCTATTTTTTAAACAATCTTCATCTCTGCTATTAAAATTACTTTTTACTTGGGATCTTTATTAAAGAATTTGGCTGTCACATGGCCAAGTAAAATTAGAGTATTAGCAATTTTCTATCCAGAACATGAAAATAATTGCAGAATAAGCCAGCCCATTGGAATTATACAGTGCAGAAATGAACAAAATGTATACTTGACTAATTTTCAATCCATAATTTCAGGAAAACTACACGGAATTAAAACTTCTATGAAGCAGAGATGGCCCAACCATCTAAGACTGCTCCAGAATGGATAGACTTTGTTGTGTGTCTAACTTTTATAGGTCAAAACTGCTGCATTATGTTACTCTAAAAACTCTACAGAATTTCAGTGTTCCTGAAATATTGGTCCTTATACCTACCTCTTTTAGTCTGTAAGAAAGCTTTCACTAGACCACAATGAAATGAGAAACAGGGAAAGCTAAACTCAAGTTTCATTTTAATTTATAAATAGTTCTTTCCACATTGCCCCCTTCACAAAATAATCTCTGTGAGAAAATGTTGATGGTAGATGTTAATAATATAATGGTTCACTGCCACTCAATAGATTGTGACTCACAGGAATCCTGCATGACAGAGTTGTCATTGTGTACCATAGAGTCAGAACTGACCCAGAGTTGACCCTCTGGAGGGTTTTCAGAGGCAGTTAATTGCACAGGAGGAGATTTCCCGTCCTTCTCCCATACAGCCACTTGCCTTTGGGATTGCAGCTTCTTGCCACTAGGCCACCATAGCTCACTTATACCCCTTAGCTATCATATATAAAAGAATTCTTTAAATTCCTTTATTCAGTTTCTTAAAATAAGGATAGTTTAAAAACTAGCTAACTCTTATTTGTGGTACCAAATTAAAACAAATTTGGCATAGTTTAAACAAACAAATAAAGAAACCCTTAAAAAATACCCCACGGTGAAACCAACTACACGCCAAACAATTAAAGGCCCATCCTATTAGATGTTGTTGTTGTTAAGTGCTGTCAAGTCATAGGCAACCCATAGCGACCCTATGAATGAAAGTCCTTAACACTTGCATGACTTTCATCCTTTCTTCAGGTTCATAGGGTTTCCGGAGGCAAGCTATTACGGAAGTGGATGACACTCCTGTTTCCAAGCTTGTTTTTATCGGGGAGCTCCACCAAACACTGTCCACCATGGGTAACCATTATTGACACATTAGTTTCACGGTGTTCAGCTTCACAGAAACCACAAGTTACCTCTGTACAGCAAGTGGACATATAGGGTAATCCTTTTTTTTATATTCCACTTAAATATTACTCCCCTTTGCACTCACCCTTTCAATATGGTTTTTTGTATAATTTATAATAAGTTTTCTATGTGTTATATAGGTTGAGCTATATTACATTAACTTATCTGATGATTTAAATGACTAAGCACAACAAAAATAACCTAGTTATGTAACAACTTAGAATCCTAAATTAATATATTTCAATATTAAAAATATGAAATTTAACTTACCTTGAACAAATTTGACACAGTGATTGAAGAGAAACACTGGGCATATAGGTTAAAGCAGCATTGTAACACAGTAAAAGGAACGTCAATACCTCAAACCTAAAGACAAACCAAAAGAACATCACAAAGCCTTAGAATTCCAAGTCAACCATACTACTTACCAAAGAGAGATTATATTTTCTTTTATAT